GGAAAAAAAAAAAAAACAGACAACCTACAGAATGGGAGAAAATATTTGCAAACTATGCATCTGATAAAGATCGAATATCCAGCACCTATAAGGAACTTAAACAAATTTACAGGAAAAAAATTCAACTTCATTAAAAAGTGGGCAAAGGATATACACAGACACTTTTCAAAAGAAGACATACATGTGGCCAACAAGCATATGAAAAAAGGCTCAGTGTCACTGATCATTAGAAAATTGCAAATCAAAACCACAATGAGATACCATCTCACACCAGTTAGAATGGCTATTACTAAAAAGCCAAAATAAATAAATATATAAATAAATAAATACTGGCAAGGTTGTGGAGAAAATACACTCTTCCACACTCTTGGTGAGAGTATAGCTTAGTTTAACCATTGTGGAAAGTAGTGTGGCAATTCCTCAAAGAGCTAAAAACAGAACTACCATTTGATCCAGCAATCCCATTACTGGGTATATACCCAAAGGAATATAAATTGTTCTACCATAAAGACACAGGTACACGTATGTTCACTGCATGACTATTCAAAATAGCAAAGACATGGAATCAACCTAAATGCCTATCAATGGTAGACCGACTGAACAAAATACTATGGAATACTACATAACCATAAAAAAGACTGACATTATCTCCTTTGCACCAACATGGATGGAGCTGGAAGCCATCATCCTTAGCAAACTAACACGGGAACAGAAAACTAAATACCACATGTTCTCACTTACAAGTAGCTACTAAGTGATGGGAACACATGGGCACAAAGAAGGGAACAACATACATTGGTGCCTACTTGAGGGTAGAGAATGGGAAGAGGAAGAGAATCAGAAAAAAATAACTAGTACCTGGGTGAGAAAAAGAATTATACAGCAAACTTGCATAACACAAGTTTACCTATATAACAAACCTGCACATTTACCCTTGAAACTAAAGTAAGAGTTAAATAAAATAAAAAGAAGCAGGCTATCAAGCTGTGGAAAGGCATGGAAGAAACTTACATGCATATTACTAAGTAAAAGAAGCAATTTACAAAGGCTACTTACCATATGACTCCAACTATATGACATTCTGGAAAAAAGGGAACTATAGAGAGAGTAAAAAGATCAGTGATGGCCAGTTTGGGTGTAGCAGAGATGAATACATGGAAACTATTTTCAATATCCAAAAAATCTTCTATTATATAGTGGTGGATATAGAGTCATCATATATTTGTCTTGAAGAGTGGCAGAATATATCATCCTGAAATATGCCACTTTGGCATAAGGATTGTTTTAAACTAAACACACTTGAAAAACAGCAGACACAGAGAGTGCACTCTGCCCTCCCTGTATCAAGAGGAAATAAACATGCCTATCACTAGAGATGGGAGGAAATTCTCATGTGAATGATGCCCTCCTTGTAGCAAAAAATTAAATAATAAAAAGAAGCGGTAGCATTCTTGTCTCCAGAGATGGGAAGTCAAGACTGAAAAAATAATATGTACAAATAGACTTTGTTAAAATAACTATTTTCTTCCTTTGGGCTCCCCATATATTTCAGTCACTGTTCCACAATTGCCACAGTATCCAACCTACTACATAAGCATTTAGGTTTTGCCACATCTTCACAGCTTCATCTTTCTATGGAAGCTCCCATGTATGTGTATAAATCTGTATGCTTTCTCCTGTGAATCTATATCAATTTAATTTTCATACCCAGCCAGACACCCTAAGAGGGTAGGGGTAAAGTATTGCCTCTCTACACTTCAAAGCCATAGAATGTACTACACCAAGAATGAACCCTAATGTAAAGTATAGACTTTGGGTGATAATGACATGTGAGTGTAGGTCCATCAGTCGTAACCAATATACCACTCTAGTGAAGGATATTGATGGCAGGGGATGCTGTGCAGTTATTGGGGTAAGGATATACCCCCATAAAAATCTCCATACCTTCTCCTCAATTTTGCTGTGAACCTGAAACTTCTCTGAAAGTTGTTTATTAAGGGAGAGAGAGAGTGAAAGAGAGGAAGATGAGGTTAAAAGAGTGGGAAGTGGGAAGGATTAGGCAAAGATAGAATAATTCAGTAGAACTGAAAGTTAAGGTGAGTTGAAATTTCCATTCCCTTATTATTCGCTTCCTTTAGATTTCTTTGACACACTGTTAGAAATAGTGATCAGGTGATCAGCCTTTATTTAAAGTTCTTCAATTACTTTATTCCTTCAATCTGGAGAGGAGAAAGAGTACTCTGGTCCAGAAGAGAATATCACACTGCCTGAACTAACTCAAGCTCAAGTTTGAGACTTATTCCCCGAGGTCACAATTTTTGGCTCCCAATGAAACACAGCAGCTGGGATGAAGGTGGCCCCTATTCCTGGCTAGCCCAGCTTTCACCTGACAGGGACCAAAATAAGTGTCATGGTTCCAGCTGCCTTCTCATGTGGTGGTAGTCATGTGCTCCACGTATCGCAAGGATTTAATAAAGCACATGTGTACCTAGGTAACAAACCTGCACACCCTGCACATATGTGACATGATCATCGCCCTATAAACTGCATACCTCGACCATATCTCGGCTTCCATTGAAACTGCTCTCTGTAACCCTAATGTGACAGGCAAGCAGTCCAAACCCATGCCATCTTGGCCCCTGCAACTTGTAATAAGTAACTAAGGTCTGTAATTTCCACCCTACCCAGACAATGTGTAAACTAACACTTAAGTAACAATCGGAATGTCCAAAGTCCCCTGGCCCTTGGAATGTCTGGAGCCCCTCACCCTCATCTCCACCCAGGAGGTGATTTACGGAATCCACTGGCCCTCGGAATGTCTGAAGCCCCTCACCCTCACCCCCGAGGTGGTTTACAGGCATAAACAGTCTTGACACCCTCCTTTCGGGGGCCACGGGTTGGAGAGACGAGTCCTCCATGGCCGAGGGCAATAAAGACCCTGCAATTTGGCATACTTTTGTTTTAGTGTTGACTTTCTATGCTCTCTCCAGTACTACATTTTGGAGGCCCCAGCAAGATTTTTATTTATATTCTTCCATCGCCTGGACAAAAGCCCTTAGAGCTTCGCCCGGGTGGCCACTCCCACCTCGGGTACCTCTAGGGGAGGCACCCCCTGAGATGTTTCATGGCACCAGGGTTCCGGCCCCATGGAGGACGGGTGACTATACGGCCGACATTCACCCAAAATTCGTCAGGGTCCCAGAAACCTCTGGAGGTAAGTCAGGTCTGGAAATCAAGGGACCGGTCTGTTGGGGGGCCTGAGTCGGGGGACCGGAAGCAGTCATTGCAATTCTGCCCAGGCAAGCCTACCTGAGATGTCACTGGAGGCTCGGGTTGCCTCACTGGAGGCTTGGGTTGCCTCACTGGAGGCTCAGGTTATCTCAGTGGAGGCTCGGGTAATTTAGTTTTCAGTTGTTTTCCATAACCTCAGTGTGAGTGAGAGAGTGAGTGTGTATATATGTATTCCCACGGCTGGAAGGCTACAGGGTTTGTATGGGCCTTCACCTGCAGTTCCACGGGGACATCATAAGGCATAATGGTGATTCATCTCAGGACTGAAAACTCTGAGGTGACCAGGCCCGGGGTTTATACGGGTACACCTTAGCCAAGATGCTCTGAAACATCCCTCTGGGGATGTGGCGGGGCACGCATCAGACTGGTCTCCCATCTGGGGGGCACCCATCCTTCGTCTGTCACTCCTATATGTGGTTCTGTCTTTACTGTAGATTCACCAGTTTTGTTAGACTCCTGCTGGCTGATATACCGTGGTTTAGACCTGTTACTCTTAAGGTAAATAATATTCTACATTGGCTAAGTGACCATTGACTTCAAGGAACTCTAATTGAATTTACACCCCTGGAACTAATTCTGTTCTCTTTCCTTTTTTTCTTCTTATTCTATCATTGAGGCCTCATTCTTCCTTTTTTTTCATGTCTGAGAGAATATTCTGCTTCCAAATACTTGGGTGTAATTTTTTTTTCTCTGTCTTAGGGAATCAAACTTTAAATAAGAAGCTACCAGCCCTCTTTGCCCGTTTAGGGTAAAAAAGGAGTAATTGTCTCTTCTGTCAAAAGAAAAAGAGACAGAGGAAGAGAGAAAGGAAAGTAGGGAAGGGGAAGAGGAGAGAGGAGACAGAGATGAGAGGAGAGAGAAGAAAGAGAGGAGAGAGAAGACAGAGACAAGGAGAAAAAAAAGGAGAGCGAGAAGAGAGAGAGATAGGGAGAGAGGAATTTAATGCTTTTTAGGGTCCCTGTGTCAAGGTGACCAAAAGCTGCAAGGGAGGCTGCGAGCTCAGTTTTAAACTGATGTGAAAAGTGGTTTTTTTTCTTTCTCTGCTGGCGGCCAGCCCCACCTGGCTTTCAGGCAGGCCACACCACCTCAGGGTGCAGTATTTGCATCCAAAATACAGTTTAAGAAATCTTTCTGACTCTTTGCAATGTAAGTGACCTGTTAGCACAGTAGTTAAGGTATAGAGCCTGCAACTGCAAGGTTGTTGGTTCAAATCCTCAGTGAAGCCAGTCTTAAATTAGTGAAATCTCTTGGGAGAAATTTAAAAGCTGAAGGAAAAACCAAATGGGGCCGTCTAGCTCCCATTTGTACCCCCCTCCAATGCATGACGGCCAACTTCAAGGTTGGGTTTTTAGGCCAATATGGGGTGAAATTAACCCCTGTAAAACTCCACTCTTTACTCAACTAGAATGGCCATCTTTTGGAGTTGGGTGGCCTGACACTGGGACCTACGACTCAAAAAAAAAAAAAAAAAAAAATTACCCAAGCTGTATGGAAAATGGTCGCAGGAACTGCTGGACACCCTGATCAGTTTCCATATATTAACCAATGGTTGGATTCAGTCCAACAACCCCCTCTGTGGCTGAAACGCTGCATAAAACAGGCTGGACTTCAGGTCATGTTGGCCAGCCCAAAGACAGCCCCTACAGCACAGGCCATTCTCCCCACCCCAGCAGAGGATCACCCAACTCAAGGCCCTCTGAACCAGGGCCTCAGCATCCCCCTGGACAGTACCAACAACCAAACCTTGTCCTCCCTGCAGACCCGCAGTAGGGCTTGACACCCACCGGTGGTCCTTCCTCTCTGAGAGGCGCCCCCAATGGGAGAAGACAATTGGGGTCGCACATTCTTTGTTCACATCCCCTTCTTGTCAAGTGGCTTATATAACTGGAAGGTGATAGAAATTAAAGAGAGGGCCAAAACACCAAATGCTGGAACAAACTTTAAGAGCAAGGGAAAAGCTGCTGGGCTGCACCCAAAATTGGCATGCAGCACCCGTGGCGTGGCAAAGGGGATTTTTATGGCTTGCAAGTTGGCAGATACATCCACTGTGAGGGGCTGTGCAGGAGGGGAGGGACTGGGGAACTGCTGAGTTTAATAGTTACTGGGAGAGGGTCATGCTAGGAAACTGCTAAGAGAGTTCCCGGGAGGGGTTCCTGCTGGAGAACTGCTAAGATGGCGAGAGGGGGAGGTTTAGGAACGTGCTGAGATGGAAAGTTCCCGGGAGGGAGGGAGTCATGCTGGGAGGCTGGGGAACTTGAGGCAGAGGCGGGGTTTTACAATGGAGTAAGTTCTGTCAGAAGGCTCAACGACCCCCTGACTCTGAGAAGCCCCAGACTTTGACAGGGCTCTTAAAATCTGTACTCCAGACTCATTGCCCCACTTGGGATGACTGCCAACAATTATTACTGATTCTGTTCACCAAGGAGGAAAGAGGCAAAATTAGATAAGAAGCTCTGAAAGCCATCATACTGAAAGCCATCATAGGTCCAGGGAGAGGAACAGTTAA